TTTTTTTTTTTTTTTTTTTTTTTTCCCAGTTTTAAAAAAAAAAAAAAAAAAAAAAAAAAAGTTGAGCGAACTTCCAAGTTCCTGTTGGCATTAGTGTTTGAGTCAGTCTGAAAGAGCAGTTTAAAAAAAAAAAAAAAAAAAAAAAAAAAGAAAAGCTTCGAGCACCTGCGCAGAAATTTCTCCACGCTTTTACTCAGAGCGCACTCGCATCTTTATTCTCTAATAATTTCATTTTAGCGCAGCGGGAATAAATCCTTTGAATCGGTGAAAGAAAGAGAGAAAAAACCCTGAAAAGGTAAAAGAGAGGCTCCCCTGGGAGCGGTCCTGCGTCTGTATGCGCGGGGACCCGCAGCCCAATGAGGCTTATTTACATTAAATACGCCACAAGGTTACAGTGCAGATAGATGAGCGTCATTTTTATCACTCATTACTTCTCTTTAGCGGTGACTGACGCTCGGGACGCAGAGGAGGAAACGCTCATTTATCCAGGAGTTTCTAAAGGCCAGGAGGAGACGGGGAGGACGGGGAGCCGGAACAGCTGTCCTGAAAGGTAAGGAATGTCACTTTTTTTGGAGTTATTTGGTGTGTTTGCAGGGAGGGATGTTAAGGCTCTGCCAGCCAATTCTGGTCGCCCCGAGCCTCCGCTGGCTGCGCCTTCACGGCTTAGAGCAGAGGGCACGTTGCTTTTCTCTTTTTTTCTTTCTTTTTACTGTTATAATTTTAATCAAAAATAATCTCTCCGCGCGGTTCAAGGTCAGGATCTCGGAGGTATTTTTGAAGCGTTTTGTTTCTGTCTAATGTGAGGACCGGGAGAAGGAGAAGGTGGCGCGGGGGGTGGAGGGGGCTCGCTGCTCCGCTCACCGCTGGGTTCATCAGCTGCTCTGACGGCGGATACCGCAGGAGCAACCGGCGCTGCTCTCTACAGCAGAGCGCCTCTTCCAGCCGCCAGATAGGGGGAGTCTGAGCTGAGAGATGGAGGGGACACGCTGCTGATGCCCGCCGATAGGAGCCGGACCGGAGAGCGAGGGGACAAGTCCTGATAAAAGCCTTGTTTGTTTTCTTCTTTATGTCCAAGTCGGAATACGCGGATGAGCGTGGAGTGGACAGTCTGTAACCCGTCCTGAGCGCACTTTCCCTCCACAACACTCCTGTCCCCGCAGCAGCAGCAGCGGCGGCGGCAACATGATCCCGTCACATCAAACGGACATGCCTCGCTGTTTGCTGAGAACTGTTGGTCTCGACGCGGCGTTTACGCACCGGAGTCGGCGAATTTAAAAAAAAAAAAAACAAAAACAAAAAAACAATATATATAAAAAAATAAGAGAAGGTAAGAAGTGTGGAGCTGAAAGCGAAGAGGTCTTATCGGGGGGTTCTGAGTGGGTGTGTGTGTGTGTGTGTGTGTGTGTGTGGGGGGTGGGGAGTGTGTGGGGGGGGGGGGGGGCTCACTCAGGCTTGTTTCTGTGTGTGTGTCGCAGCGGGGGTCCCCTGATGTCTCCCCGAATCATGATTAGAAAATAAGGGTGCAATTATCCGGAGCGAGGGGTCGTAAAACAGCAGCTGGGACCGAAAGAGATGGAAGCAGCTCGGAAGCGACACCTTGCAAGTCTCCGCGTGCCGAACTAGTTTCATTTAGAGCAGAAAACTCATTAATGTCCATTATTGCTTTTTGTTTTTTATTTATTTATTTTTTACCCACAAAGCCTGTGCGTAAAATCCGCTAGCTGCGCACCGCTTTGCGACGTTGGCGCATTACGGATCAGCAGCACAGCGTGGGACTTTTACAGAAGTATGTGGCCGTGTTCCCGGCTGCTTGGAAAACTTTTTTTATTATTATTTTTTCCCCGTAGCCGGCGATATTCCACGCAGCTGGGATTTTTGAAGACAGCGGGAATAAAGAAGTTAAAGTTTTGGCACCACGTGTCTTAAAAAAAAAAAGAAAGAAAGAAAAAAAAGAAAAAGAATAAGGAAAAAAAGGCAAACAAAGTTATGAGATGGCAGAAGAGCCGATGAGACCTGCCATTTTGAGCACGAGATCGACCTCCGAAATGAAAAAGCCGTCAAAGCGTCATGTTCTCCCAGATAAAAGCGCGGAAACGGAGCCGTCTTATTTCTGCCTTGACAACAACTCCTTGTCCGGCTTGGGAAAAGTCTTCCTCAAAAGTTGCGGTGTGTGCGCGTGCAAATAGCAGCAGGACAGCTCGTGAGGCCATATCACATCAGCGGAGGGAACAGATCAGATTTGTATCCTGCCCTGATTTCAGAAAAAAAATTCTCTCTGCAATATCTTTACTCCATGAATAGTAATAAAAAAAGTAAAAATAAAAAAACAAAACAAACAAACAAACAAAAACCCCCCAAAAAACAAAGACACTCTCAACTTTAACAATCTTTAACATATTTTAATAATATATGAAAATAAATGGGCAGTTCCGAATTAATAAAGAATAAATTGAATTATGCGGCACCAGGGATGTTTGAGCTCTGTAATCCCATTTAAAGCCCCTGTCACACCAAGCGTCTTGGGTGGGGAGCTGTTATTTTCTCTCTCTTTTTTTTTCTTTCCTGGAAGTAAAACTGACCCCTGACCGGTTTGACCCCACTTTACCTCCAACCAGCCATCAGCTTTATGAAGACAAATGCAATGGCTCCAAAAACTCCATCACACTATTTCCCTAACCTTTCCCCAAGTTATCCTGAGCCCCCTCTGCCTCCTTCCATCCCCCATCCGCCTAAAAACAGTTGCTTCCTCCTTGGATTCATTGTGCAGAGAAAATTGAATAAATAGATGGACTGTACGGGCTGAGATGCTGTCATTGTGTAATGGTATGCACAGGGCGGATATTGTGTCTGAAATAGTGTCTGGGCGTAAACCCCTTTTGTCAGTTGCTTTCAGTCCTTTATCGCAGGAGAAATATGAAATGGATGACAGTGCAGAGCTGCCTCAGACCTGTTTGCCCTTTCCCTGCTCCTCTCTCTGCTCCCCTACCAGCTGACATGTTGTCATTCTTTTTAGGTGAAATATTTTAGGAGGACAAAAAGGCCTTGCTTTGATTTTCCAAACTGGCCTTTTCGAGGAATTGATGGTGTTCTCAGTTTAGTTTGGATTTATCAGGCCCACCTGAAAATCTCTGCCTTCACAAATGTATAAATCGTTTCACTGCACACACACACACACAGAAATGTCAGAGGGAAAAAAACAGGCATTTAAAATGGTGAACATTGATACATTTTGTTTCTGGATGAGATTTGAAGAATGAATCGTCTCTCGCGGCAGCAGGGATCTGACGGATCCTCCTGCTGCAACTTTCTAACTGACAGAGCTGGAAATTTGCTCTGCCGACAATCCGGCATGAGTCGCTTTCCCACCTGTGCCCTGTAACGGTGCTTCTGAGGGTGGTGGAGAGTGTGTGTATACGTGTGTGTGTGTGTGTGTGTTTGGGGAAGGTGGGTGGAGGGTCACAGACCATGACTGACTGCGCTGATAAACATCTCTCAGCTGCAAACGAAGGAGAGAGAGCCGGAGAGAGGAGATGGCATCAGATCAGTTCTCCTTTCAGCAGTCAGTCAGTCAGTCAGTCAGTCAGTCAGTCAGTCAGTCAGTCAGTCAGTCAGTCAGTCAGTCAGTCAGTCAGTCAGTCAGTCAGTCAGCAGGCCGCTCTCCGCTGCTGTCAACTATCTGCATGCTGACGGGTTAAACAATCACATTTTTATTCTAAGTGTAAAAGAGGTTTTTAAATTGGAACGGCAACATGCATGCTTAACCGTGGCCTGTGATTTGGATTCAAGCATCTGCAAGAGTCCCCCCCCATCAGATCTGCAGCCTCACTCCCCCCCCCCTCCATTCTCATGTAATTATGGGGAGAGGGCTCCAGCTGCACAGGCTGCAGGGCCAGGTTTTCCCATCCGCTGGGATCAGGGCAGTGGTGGGCAGGCCGAATCAGGCCAGCTCTGCTGATCAGCCAGCCATTAATTGATATGTGCAGTCATTGTGAAAACAGCAGCCCTCCCGCCTCGCCCTCATCCCGTTTTTTTTGTTTTTTTTTTCTTTTCTTTTGGTTACCTGCTGGTTTTCAGGGCGCTGGATGGGAATTAAAAAAAAAAAAAAATTCCACCCTTCGTTTCTGATCAGGTTGTGTTCCTTACTGCGCTGGTAGAGCGAAGTGGCTGTGTGTGTGTGGGTGTGTTCTGTGGTGACTGTGGGGGGGAAGGGGTCGTGGGGGGGGCTTTTGTAACGCCTTGACCTTGATCTCTAGAGTTTAAGCCAGGGAGGGCAGCATGTTGTCAGTCTTCACATGAAGTTGCCTTGTGAGGGTAATAACAACGAGACTTCTCCGGTTAAAAACTCCCAATAATTCTCCAGAAAAATAGATTCTTCCTCCAGGTTGAAACGTTTTCAACAGCAGCCAACAGGTTTGGTGCCTCATGCCTCTGCTCATGCTTAGGATTTTGTTTTGTTGAATGAATTTATAGTGAGACACAGAGTAAGCTACAAGAGTCTCTGCAAAGACAATTATGGATCAAAACTAGACTGAATATCTAAGGTAAAAACAAAAAAATCTGCAAAAATATTCAACAGTTGGGATGTGGAGGTCGGGTGGACCGAGATGGTGAAGCTGAGGCTAATCACAGACATCAGTTCCATCTAAGAATAAAGAGTGTGGGGCAGATGAGGCGTTGGCAGACTGGGTGCCCTCATGCCAGGGTGCCATCACAACGAGTGTCTGCATTTCTGGGCAGAGGGAGGAAGCGGGGCTCAGAGGAGAGCAGAGGCAGTTGGTCTTAAGAGGGAGAGCTAAGTATGGAGGAGGTGATTTCTCCTTATCAGAGGACTTGTAGAGAATGTGTGTGTGTCTGCACATCGGTTCAGTGTGTTGAAGCCCCCAGGTTTCCACTCTGTGTCCTCTGGCCTCGCAGACTGTGACGTTCTGAATCTTTGGCCCTACTTCCCCAGAGGAACTCCTCTGGAGCGCCGTGGTTCCCCGATGGTTTGTGTCCTGCTTGGATTCCTTATTCCTAAAAGTTTGCTTCAAACTGTGGATTTACGGAGGCGCCAGGCGATGTCAGGGCTGTTTTTTTTTTTTTCCCCTCCTGTTGATGCGTCGAGGAGCGCTGTGTTTTCAGCCGTGTCATTTCCACAGACAACAGCTTAACACAAACCGGCAAGCACACATCAATCAGAGGTCTTGAAGCAGAGAATTGTTGCTACTTAGCATTCAGCTGCGCTCTGCAAAGACAGTGGTAAATACCTCCAGCCTTCATGAGATGGAAGTGTGTGTGCGTGTGTGTGTGTGTGGGTGTGTGTGTGTGTGTGTGCGTGTGTGTGTGTGTGTGTGTAGAAGGTCCTGTCTATCGCCCCCTTTCACCTAGCATCTCCGGCTCATGTCATGTCTGCTCTTTAGCTGCGTTGCGCATTTTCGGATGTGACCTCTGTAAAGTTCCAGACCCCGGCTAATGAGGACGTCAAAATATTCAGGGAGGGGGGCCGAAAAGAAAAGAAAAGAGCGGGAGGGGAGAGAAGAGAGGTGAAAGTGTGGGAAAGCTGGGGAGAAT